GGCGAGCCGCTGCCGATGCAGCGCAACGGAGAAGGGCTCAAAGCGAGGGATAGGCCACCGGGGCTGCCCCTGCTGGGCTTTAGCGCGTGTAACCCACCCACGCTGCACAGGGCAGGGCGTGTCCCATCTCGTGGCACTTAGGTCAGTGCCCGTGACTCCAAACCACTGCTCGCCAGGTGTGCTCTGTAGCCCTGTTCATTTCAGCAGAGTCAGGTCGGGGGAGAGGCCGCGCCTGGGCATTCAGGCCGCATCCCCCTGGCGTTTCCACTGCCTGAGAGAAATGGGATGGGTCCTGAGGCTGCCTGTGCCGTTCAGTCCCCACAAGATAGTTGGAGCTGGTTGAGGGCAATGCTCCCTCTCATTTGATCCATTCATGTGCAGATTAAATTTTGTCGTGCACACCAAGGCATGCACAAATGTGCACCACCCGGAAAAATACAGTCTGCTTACTGTGGGCACTCCGCTAGAGGAGCGGCATTTGTGTCTCTCCTGGGTGGCTGCCCAAGTGCACGGCATGCAGAGAGCACTGCCACCCGTTCCTCCCCATTCAACAGATCCAAGCCAAAGGAGACCTTTGCATGAAACTGTGCAAAGCAAACATAGCCGTGTCCCCCCACCTGGGCCGTACCATGGGAGTGTCCGGAAAGGGCCGATGTTCGCGGCTGTTTAGGACGGATGTGGAGCCATGCAGGGTCTCATGGATTTGGGTTTGATCTTTACAGAGCTCCTAGAGTTAAGCTCCATCCTTCCAGGGCTTTGCTTTTGCCATGTGTGTGTCTGTCTCCCCGGGCTGACGTCTGACCTCTGCTCCCCCCCAGGTGCAGACCACCACCATGTGCATCTCCGTCAGCCTCAGCGGCACCGTGGTCCTCGGCTGCCTGTTCACCCCCAAACTCCACGTCATCCTCTTCCAGCCACAGAAAAACGTCACCAGCCACCGCGTAGCCACCAACCGGTTCAGCGTGACAGCCACGGGCTCCAGCCCCTCGCAGGGTGAGTGGCTGACAGCCCGCCCCCGCCGGTACCGCTTCCTGGCCCTCCCCAGGAACACAACGCGTGGCCTGGCCCCCGGGATAGGGGCCCTGTCTCTGCACGAGGTCGAATGCCGTGGGGGCTGGGGGAACCCTACACACCGCTTCCTATGTGAGAAGGGGACATGCCTGGGGCAAAGTATGCCCTCAGCCCCATGGCTGGCCAAGGGAAG